CCAACTTCTGCTCTGTTGTTAATTAAAAAAAAAAACGAACTAATTGATAGTGTATTTCCAGATATTCGTGTAATTTTAGCAGCAAAAAATGTTGATGTTAACGAACTTAACAGTCAAATACAAAATTCGTTGCCAGACAATCTGATGAATTTTAAGTCAATCGACACCACTATTGATGAAAACGAGACCGTCAATTTTCCGATTGAATTTTTGATTTCTCTGGATGTGTCAGGAATGTCGCCAAGGTTTATATACAGTATTGGCCAATACAATAGCACCCCCATTTCAAAGTGATATTGTTTATTCATGTTTATTTATTAACCGACTTCCAAAAAAGGAGGAGGTTATCAGTTCGTCGGAATATTTTTATTTTATTTTATTTTTTTATGTATGTTACCGCATAACTTTGGACCACGTCAACCGATAATTCTTTTTGCATCGGAAAGGTAGTGTCTCAGAGGTGGTCCCATACTAATGTGGTTAAGATCCGATCAGCGGATCATGAGATATATATATATATATTTTTTTTTTATATGAGAGTTGAAGTCGGTTTTTTTTTTGCTAAAAATTACTTGTTTATTTTTAAGAATTTTCAATTAAAATACAGTTCATTCTCTGACAAAACTCACATAAACTCAAGTTTAAAACTTTTTAAAAGACCGCAAAAAAGTGCAACAAATTTTCACCCAAATTTCAAACTTTTTTCTCAGAAGCGGTAGAATTTTTTTGAATACACAGTTTTATAGCCCATTCAATTTTAGTCTAATAATGTGCAAGTTTCAAGTGGCTAAAAATTACCGTTGATTTTTTAGAATTTTTTTCGCAGAGGATGTTGCGGGTTTCTGCCATATAAAAATAAATTGCGTTTAGTCATTATATGGAAGCAAATGAGACAAAAATTAAACATAAGTGGCAAACAATATCGCTTTGAAAGGGGGGTGCTATAGATATGTCCAATACTGTATGTATAGATCTTGGAATGCCGCCACACAAACTTCGACTGAAAATTGATTCACCAGTCATTCTTTTGCGCAACTTAAATCCACCAAAGCCATGCAAAGGTACACGAATTACCGGAAACGTGCTTGAAGCAATGATACTGACTGCAAAGTTTAAAGGAGAAGTCGTCCTGTTACCTCGAATACCTATGATACCATCAGAATCTACAATACCTTACAAGAGGCTACAATTTCCGATACGCTTGGCTTTCGCGATCACAATAAATACGTCGCAAGGGCAGACAATGTCTATTTGCAGCTTGGACTTAGAGAATCCATGTTTCTCCAATGGACAGCTATATGTTGCATGCTCACGTGTTGGAAAACCATCGAATCTATTTGTTTTAACAAAGAAAGATTGACGAGAAATATTGTTCATCGCTTAGTTGTTAATTAATTGAAAGTATTGATTTATAACAACTCCATTAGGTAAAACAAATATAAAACATTGTTAAATATCATCGTAATTATCAATTATCTACCTCGTTAGTTAAATTAAAATTAAGTTAGTAATAAATTAAGCATTTTGTACTCGTTGAAGCTTAATTAGAACTTTTCGTCATCCTTTGCCAATGAACTTCATTACAATATCAATTATAATATCTAATAATTGAACGAAATACAACAAACCCACAGTTGTGGTATTAACCGTGGTTTCAAACGCCAGATCATTGGAGAATCGCAAGAACCTCTTCACGGATATAATGCTTTCGTTAGGTTATTTAAGACTGCAATGGAAGATATACCTTCCGTCGACCACAAAACCATAAGTGGAGCAGATAAATGTGCCCCTGGAAGTTGTCAACGTGAATAGTTGGTGAACATGTTTTGATAAAAAAATTAATTTTGGGCTGATCGAAGTTCGCCGGGTCTGCTAGTACTGTATATAAAAATTGAATTTTATTGTATTTAAAGAGCATATTATCTTAAGCGAATTTTCAGTATTTTCTGGTGATATATCTTTAGAAGTTTAAACGTGAATGCGTGGGCAGAAAACGAACGATTGCGTTGGACGCACCGGCGAAGGAGATAAAAAAGGCAAAGACAAGGATATAGGCAAAGATAATGGTACTGATGAGTATACACATATGTGGATAACAAAAGAAACAACGACAAAGGCAAAAGTAAAGAGGCTTTAAAAGGCAATCAGAAAGGCAGATATAAACAAGTATTTCATTCATCTTCGCTAGTATCTTCAGTCAGACTTAATGAAATAAACTTACATAGTTAAAAGTGGGCGGTATCACGCCCAATTCCATAGTAATGTTACTTCTTTTAAAGGGCTTATTGTGAGTATAAATTTTGAGTAAATAAGTGTGCTTAAATTTCGGAATATCGAAGTTTAAAGCATCTCTGAAATTTACAGTTTATGGTTTCAAATTTTTTAGCTGAAGCCTTCGATGAAAACGTGGAACTCTCAGCCAATTATTAAATATCCAAGTTTTAAATTTTAATGCAAATGTACAGCAAGATGATTCCTTCATGTACATTGATTTAAAGGAAACATAAAGCTTCAGTCACCTGTTTTAGTGGTGCACTCCTTTATTTAGAGAGTTACAAAACAAAAGCACATTCTAATTTTTTTTATTTAATGAGTTATTCGACTTTATCCTCAGAGAAATGGAAAGTTCTGAAATTTACCGTAGTAACGGAGGTGGGCATGATTAATGGCCGATTTCAAAAATTTTAAGCGAGTCCCTGTGTTAAATCCTAAACAATATTTGTACCGAGTTTGGAAGGGGTTGGTAAAGCGGCGCGCTGCGGTGCAATGGGGTGTTGTCACTGGGAATGCAGTAACAGTTGCACGGCTATACTCAATCCCGACTCCTGCGCGGCGTTCGTGCACTCATGTGCGAGATGCCGGAAATAAACCGAGTGGAGCCTTGGGGCACAGCAAAAAGAGAAGGAACTTCGGTGAGGCCACTCCGAATTCTTCTGTTTAAAGGTTCACTGAGGTCTGTAGCGTATATTCACCAGCAGGTGCGGCTGCAAGGGGTGAGTGTCTTGGAGTAAGCTGCACGGCTATACTCAATCCCGACTCTTGCGTCCTCGTCAGTGATCGGACTTTAAAAAAATTCTGTGTGGTAGAATCTGGGCAAAATGTGGTAGATTTAAAAAAAATGTGGTAGATCTCTGGATTTGAATCAAACTTTGTAGAAAAATTAAAAAAATTCTGCAAGATTTCACCTAAAAAACTTTTTAATCAGACTCTAAAAAAATTTTATTTTAGTATAATAAAGTGTAACATTGAAGTGGCAATTTTTTTCCTTCACAGTGTAAAGCAGTTCCTTCCATATTAAGATATTTTTGAACACATTTTAAGAGATTTCTGCAACCTTGCGGAGTACTTCCAGCTTTTCTTTTTACCACATCACGAAGTAGCGAACAAATATGGCACGTTCCAGAAACAGAAAGAAAAAGTAAACAACGCCTCAGAAACCTTATATGCACTTAAATTTACTAATACTTTCACAAAAATCGCCGGTTTTTAACATTTTCGCTATTAATTCTTTTTATAAATCATATATATAGTGGCGTTTCCTGTCAAAAAATTGATTACTGAGAAAATTTACTATTTTACAGTTTATTTCATCCTCCCATTCGGCTTTGTTTACTTTTACTTAAGAAATTTCATCGTCGCCGGGAATGCGGAATCTTGAATTATATCATTCTTGTTACCATATCGTGTAAAATTAAGAAAATTATATCAAGCAAAAATAAAACTACTCAAAAATGCGAATATGTGGTAGATTTCAGACCTTGAGTGGTAGATGCTCAAAAAAGTGGCAGATCTCGGTCGTCGTTCGTGTACTCATGTGTGAGATGCCGGAAACAAACCGAGTGGAGCCTTGGGGCACAGCAAAAAGAGAAGGAGCTTCGGTGAGGCCACTACGAATTCTTCTGTTTAAAGGGGCGAGTGTCTTGGAGTAAGCTGCTCGCTATATAAACGTGTATTCGTTTGCGAAACTACCCCGCCCCGCTGGGTTTAGGACCCGCCACGTAAAAACTGCTTCCAGAGGCCTCGGATAAGACCGTCTCTTTTGATTACGACCACGGCAAACGTTTAAATTGAATTTGAGGGCATGCATCTGGAATATCCAAACCCTTAATGGGGAAGGTGCCTCTGCCCGGCTGGTGGATGTCTTCATAAGGACAAAAGCTGACATCATTGTGAGCAAAGTTATTGTACCCTTGTGACCCTCGGGTGCGCTCGGGTATAAAAAATACACAACCGTTTTTGCAGTTTTGTAAAATGCAAAATTGTCTTAAAAATTAATCCTTAAGCAGGGATCACACGATTCGATTTCTATATTTGTACAGATATGTACATTTTGAAAGCAACAGTGTGGGGCTGTTTTGACATTTTTTTATTGAGCTGATTGAGTTCGATACAAATATGTAGACAATACCACTCTCTGACTGCCAAAATGTACAAATCTGTACAAATGTACAAATCGTGTAATCCCAGATTTCCAGTGGAACTCCGCAAAATTCTTTTCAAAACTGTTAAATTCTACAGAAATTTTATTCTTCGAAAATTTAGTGAATTAATCCAAATCAAAATTCAAATTGAATTTGTGTTTTTTGCATGTTAAATAAAATACTCCACTTGCACTTTCCACTTTTGTCCTCCCTTCGTTGCAACAAAATTCCAAATTTGCCAATTAAAACGAAAAGAGCCAATTAAATCTTTTGGGCAATTTGAACTTGCGAAACCAATTGCGAAACCAATTTGCATGTGGAGCCAATTAGTTAATCTAACAATTCGGGGAATAATCATGAGTCGTTACTTTGACAAAAAAAAGCTGTAGGGGAAGAGAGAAAATTGCAGAGACGCATTTGATTCTCGTTAACTGCCTGTAATTCATTCCCAACAAAAGAAGTTGTCAAAAAATGGACAACGCCACCATTTGACAGCTACCAAATCAATTGTTGGCAATTAAAGCGATGGACACATGCACACATCTCCACTAACATGAGCACACACTTATCTAATGGAAGCCAAATGCTAGCTTTGAAATTCGCTGCACTAATCCTGCAGAAACTCTGCTTTTTTGTTTGCTGATGCGGAAAAAATCGGTATTTTAATTTGCCTTTTTGTGAAACCAGTGCCTAAATGCAATTTTACTGATCCACAAAGTGCGTAAATTACATTTGCGAACAGAGGGTTGCAACTAATTTGAACTTTTGCGCTGAAATTACGGAGGTCGATCCTTCTAAAATGGTGCTAGGCCAAACTGCTGGCACTCCACCGGTTGTTGATGTGATACGCCACTTTTTGCTCCTGTTCACTGTAAGCGCATCGTTGTCGCGCTGCTTTGTGGGAGCAGAAATTTTCTCTGCCATAGACGACTTTAACGGAGTGTTGGCCAATAATTTAGCGGAGCGTGCATATGGCGCCGACAATGGAGGCAATCGTTGTTCCGCGCGAAAATTTCAAGCGATTGCCAAAGCCATTGATGATGTTGAGGATCTGGAACTGGATGTACCGGCTAATATCGCATTTGACAGTCATCAGAAAAAAAGGTAAGTAAAGAACTTTGTTACTACATTACCTACACCTGGGAGGATATGTTGTAACGATTTAGCGACCATTTCGGATTGCTATCACAACGTTGCGGCGTGTTTGATGAAGGTCGACAAAGTTAACAAGCTAACTCGTTACAAGTGCACGGACTTCGAAAAAATTTATATGTGTAGATTTTACATACAAAAAATGGTAGAAGTTGTTAGATTTTTTAAAAGAAATAAGTAGATTATTGGTAGATTTAAAATACAAAAAATTGTAGAAGTTGGTAGATTTTTTTTAAAAGAAATAAGGTGGTGTTATCGGAGCAGCTGAGTTTTAGCCTCGGTGGTTCTCAATGTCAAAATGATATATGTGTAATTCTTACTTAATTATGCATACTTAGTTGGTGTAATTTTTGTTTCTGTATTCCTGCTATAACGTTGGGATAATTGTCTTTTTTTATAAAAGAACAAAAAATTAATTTCATGCCAATAAAACATTCACCAAAAAAATATAAATATAAATAATACTGGGCCGAATCATGGCATTCGTGGTCGAATGAAACTCGATTCGAATCGAATGAAATAAAATTATAGCTGTTTTCTCCCAAATACAATATAAATTGAAAAAGCGAGCTCGCCATCAAATGCCGTAATCTCATTGAGATTATCTCAAAAAGATTTTCGATTCGGATTTAATTCCATCACGTATTCCGTAATTCGGGCCCTGTATTAATTTAAACAAGAACTCAAACAATTACATATCTCCATTTCAAAGTTTTTTAATTATTAATTATATTAAAATTTTAATTTATAAAAAACGTATTGCAAACGAAAAATATTTACATGCATAAACAGCTGATAAAGATGCAATTTCACTTTTAAATTGGTTATGGTCAGAGTTAACTTTTTACTTTTATTTTAGGTGTGTTCGATGACAAAATATACATACACTGCGTTCATTTAAATCTCTTTTTTATTTCCGGAAAAAAGCGGTAGATTTTGAGCCTTTGTTGGTAAAAATGGTAGAAGATATAGTACAGCTAAAAAGTTGGTATACCTACCAATTAAATGGTAAAGTCCCTGCACTGCTCGTTACAGAATCTCCCCACTAAACTGTAGTATAAAGCTATTGCTTTCATAATAATGGTATCAGGTGAAAGCCTGAATATCCCTGCAAAAAATTGTGCGACTAATCTCCAAAGAGAGTATTCCGAGATTACTCTCAATCGGGTACAATTGGGCATTAATTAGTCGCAACTAGTCTCATACGGGTCAATTAGTCTCGACTCATCCCTTATGGGTATAATTGGAGATCAATTAGTCCCCAACTCATCTCTAACGATATTAACGTTTTAATGGTATGTACGCACTTAGTCAATGAAATTTCATGTGCGGCGTTGGCACACAGAGAGAGTATTCGCCTAACAAAACTGAGCACCCAGGTTCGAATCTCAGCTGGCGCAAATTTTTATTTTTATTTTTTAAAAGTGACTACATAGTCGCTTTTAAAACCTGTTCGGGTATAAAGGTGAACAATTAGTCTCTTCATAGGACATGCTCGAACAAAAGCGATCAGTTCATTCCATATAAAGAGATCAAAAGTGGTATTAGTCGCATGCTCCTTTGCGATTGCTCCCGGAGTCATCCCGGATTAGTCCCATTTTTGCAGGGATGTTTAAAAATACAGTAGTAGTAGTATAACGAATGATATAATATCTGGAAAGTTTAATAAAATAAATTAAAAAGATATCTCCAAAAGATAAACGCTTGATGTCTTACAAGATTTTCAGAAAATCTTCTAGGTTTCACACAAATTTGCACTTTTTTCGTTTCTTCTACGACAGTCAGGCAACATTGCAAAAATGCCTCATTATTATTTTTCGTATTTTCCATTTTTAATGAATATTTTATGTTTGAAATACATAGCTAATTTTAGGGAACACATTTTTCTCACGTTCTTACATTTTGACACTTTTCAGATTTTTGCCAGAAAAGTTGAGGAACGAACTAAGAGGATATGAGGATTTTTTGTGAGGCTACACATTAAGTTGCAGCAATTGAAAGTTTTTCATCTATGATCCACACGTTTTGTGGTTTCTTGTCAATGGCGCAGTGTTCAAAAAAAGTAGTGAAAACTTTAGACAGTAAAAACTTTTCCCGCAACGAGAAACCGAAAGTAATAATTTTTGTAACGTGAAACATAAATCGGATGGTTGTTGCTCCTTTCGGCAATCTTTCGTTTTGACACATCAATGGGCGCACAAGTATACGCAGCTGTGCTGCCGCGGACAACAGAGGCAATTGAATTTGAAAAACTGCCGAAAGACGTGAGCCAACACGGCGCAAACAACTAGGAGAAGCAACTAAAGTCGCGCTTGAGACTTTTATTTGATTAAAATTAGGCATGTGCCGGTTATCCGCTAGACATCCGGAATCCGATTTGTCCGGCGGTCTTTGGGTTTTCCAACTATCCGGTTGGATACTGCTAAAAGAAGATTTTCTGCATTAATGGGCAACAAACTAATTCTATTTTCCACATATGTATATACATAAATGATACCCGATGCACTAAACACCCTTTTTGAATTTATTTAAGAATGTTACGCGCAGAGATACTTTGTTGCCTGTTTGGCATTAGAAAGACGGACAGTGGTCGTTTGAACCATAATTTTTCAAAATTGTTATTTCGTGCCCTTTATTTAAAATGCATTAAATTTCATTTAAAAGCATTCCTATTTTATTGATGTGTTTTAAACCTAACTAAAAAATAAAACTACCTGAAAAGACGGAAAACTGAACTATTAAATTTGTAGTATAAAGGAAAGTCGATATTCTTGGAACACACTAATCTTGAAAACTACTGAATGGAATCATACGAGATTTTTTTTTATGACAATCTGTATCAAAAGGGGTATTATCTTTCTCATCATTTCTTACAAAATATTAGGTGTCAAATAAAATGAGTTGGCCTCTAGTAAATAATGTACAGTATTCCTCGCTTAATTGACCCCCTGTTAATTGGGTTCCCCGCATTATTGGTTAAAATGTGCCATCAGAAAGAGATATCAATGCTTCATTGATTCCCCGGTTAATTGAAACAAAACTTGTAAAATTTTTGAAGTGCAAGCGGGGAATACTGATATTTTTTTTGAGCAGGGTTGCAATTTTTTGACAAATTATAAGATATTCAATGTTCGTTCGACTGAAAAATTAGGTATACATTCAGAGGATATAAGCTTTTATTTTTTTATTGGCGTTGCCCCCTATTTATAAATTATTACCTTAGATATTACACGTGGAAGCATTTTTTGTTAATGACATCAGGTTTTGATCCAGATGTGAAATAAGTCTTTATTTTTTTAGTAGGGTCACCGCCTATTTAAAAACTAGTATCTCATACACATACAGATTTGCACAGTTCTTTCAAATTTCCAAAATGAGGCGTCAAATGAAACGTCTTGGCCTTCAGATGTGCAACAAGGTCTTATTTTTTAGAAGAGTGTTGTCACCTCCCTGACGGAAACAAGTGATTTTTTTTTTTTAATCAACTAATTGAAAGACTATAAAACAAATGCAATGTTTCGAATTTTTATACTCTTTTTGCTCAAAAAAACAATTCGTGTCTTGGAATTTTGAAAGCATCTGTGAAGTCCAACGCAGGCGTATTCAAAAGAAACATACTGACTTTAAAGTTGTGTAAACCAAATTCATTTAAGGACAGTTGAAATTAAATGCAGAGTCGGACCGTCGACTTGCTGCTTGCACACAATTCAAACTGAACATTTGAAAGCACATTTACATGTCTGGCTGAACCTGAAGGTGCAAAGATGTTTGCTAAAATTGGTCGCAGCTAAGAATGTCCATGTTCAAATCTCATTTAATTTTAAATTTTTAATTTCGGTTTTTCGTAGTTATGAAAAAGCATCTGTGAAATGCAGGACGGAAGCGTATTCAAACGAATCATACTGACTTTGAAGTTGTTTAAGCCGAATTTATTTTAAAGCAGTTGAAACTACATGCAGGAAAAGGCAATTAACTGCTTCCTAGGACGTCGCCATGTTAAATAAATGAGTTCGTTGCAGGTTAAATAGTGAGAATTACTAATTGAAAATAAAGTAGTTTATAAATTACTTTCAAACTAATTCAATTTCCTGCAGGGCTGTGCTAAAAGTTATAAGATATGCGCAAAAAATTGACGCGTTAAATGAAAGGACTTGGGTCTCCAGATGTGCAATATATATATATATATATATATATATATATATAATATAATATATATATAGAGTGGTTCATAAAAACACACTTTTCTGGAAATTCATAAACGCTACTTCAGAATTTTGTTATTTGTGATAAAAAAGAGACACGTACTTTTTTATTTTTAGAGGTCGCGCTGGTCGGTTTTTTATAAAAACGGTGATGTTCTAATTTTTTTTGTTTTTTGACATGTTAAAATGCAGCTAAAAATGTGTTTTTATTATTACCTTCCTTTTATTAGCTCGGATGTAACTATGTAATATTGATGCGCCTAAAAGATGCAGCGATTTCTATTCTCAAGTTACATACCTGATGACAGTACGAATGGCAATTATAATAGGGAGGTTTTTGTTTTTTGAACTATAATTTTATTTGCATATAATTACTCTGGTATTATTGGGGAACATTCCCTAAATTACACACCTGTCTTGGACAGTTAGAATGGACCTAGTTCCCGAAAATATAACATGTCAAGAAAATGAAAAAAATGAGAATATCAGGGTTTTTATTAAAAGCCGACCAGCGCGACCTCTAAGAAAACTTTTTTTTTTTCAAAATAAAAAACACGTTTTTCTTTTTTATCACAAATAACAATAGCGTAGCGTTTATGAATTTCCAAAAAAGAATTTTTTTGAACCACTCGAATATATATATATTTATATAAATTTTTTTATTTAATAGGCTTGCCGCCTGTTTCAGAAATTAGAAGATCCGCACCGTTCGCTGCATTGAAAACAGGAGATGTGAAATGAAAGGACTCG